TTAAATTTACCTCCCAGAATCTGGGAGGCACGTGACCAGCCGCAGCCAGGGTCTCTCCCAGATGACAGACGGAGAGACCCTGGGAACGAGGTTGGATCCTGAGTAGGATCCTAAAAAGAAAGTCTATGAAATGACCATTAATCCCTTAGGTAATTTTAGCTTGGCTAAGATGAGATATGATATTGAATTGAAATATATATATATTTTTTTAGAAAATCTATCTCATTATTCGCTTATAAAAATTTTCACCATTTTTTTATGATCATTTTTTTCCCAGATTAATGCTTCACACAGTTTCAAGCTAGCGATTACCCTGGATTCCAGAGCCTTCAGTAAATAATAAATTGACAGAATTTGTACTAAAATTACTAATTCTGTTTTGTGATTGGCGTGGTTTAATCAAAGAGCCCTCCCGTTGAACAGAGCCTTCGCGATGTTTCAATTTATTATTTACTGAAGGCTCTGGAATCCAGGGTAGCTAGCGATAGATTGGGAGCGCCTTTTGGTGTATCTATTTTAGAAGACAAGGGCCCACGCGCGCAATGAGTTATGGGATATCATATATCATATGTCAAGAGAAGTGTGATTTTTTTCGTTTGAGTATATTTCGATGAAGAAAAGCCGAGGAAAAGCTATATTTCGTATTGGATAAGTGACTCCGAATCCTGCCAAAGCCTTATTGATCTCAGGTATATGAAATATTACTGTTTATATCATATAATTATAACGTCCATCGACACTATTTACGCATTTTATCTTGTGGCTGTTGGCCTGTTGTGGCTGCTAAAATTTGAATTTTGCGCGCGCGAGATTTATATTCAATTATTTCATTTCAATGCCGTCAAATATTAGTCAAAATCAACAATTCAAATTTTGAATAAACACATTATAGTAAATACTGGGTTGCACTTGTTTGACAACACTCGAATATAAAGCATGTTTGAACCCACATGGGCACATGGTATATTAAACAATGGGGCCATTTATACGAGCGAAAATATTTAAAGACGCGGCCTATAAAATAAGCCGCGGCTTAATTAAATAAGTCGTGAACGACTCATATACAGGGTGCGATAATTCAATATTTTTAGCCGTACCTGACTGGTACTCCGACAACTTTTGCCGCGTACCTGGTCTGGTACAAACTTAAGAGTCAAGACGTACCTAAGACTACTGTACTTCCGAGTCATGCGTTTTTATACCTACGTATAGTTCATTGGTCCAAAAGCAAGAAATGTATGGGCAATTTTGTACAAATGAATCTTTAATTACGGTATTTGTACAACATAATATAACAGTTTTCAAAGCATCGACGTTGTGACTCGAATGCCATCGCTCATTTACAGTGGATTTACCGAGGGTGCTAACAGTCTGACCTCAGCTACATACAGTGTAGTTTTCCTCACTGGACCTAAAAAAAACCTGTGGTTCCGGTTTCATATCGCGAAAAAATTAGGGTAAGTAGGTCGGAAATAATTTTTTTTTAAATATTTTTTTCATGGTTTTGGCGGTTTTTTGCTGGGCGATTTTCAGTAGAGTCCCGACATAACTAGAGATGCGTAGTTCGTACGGATGATTTTAGGCAATTTGGTTCAATAATTATTGTGACAACAGACGCCATTTTGGCACGCTGTACGAGCAGCCCGCAACCACCCGGAGAAAATAGCGTCGCACAGTCAATCGTGTTGATAAAATAATAGGGTGGGCAGAAAAAAATAGGGTCGGTCGGGAAACCGGAACCACAGGTATTTTATTTTTAGGCCTTGGTATGGCATTGACAATTAAGCCCAGGTCACACCACACAACGATGATACGATAACTTCTAAACACGCGATGATTGGTAAAAAAATTACGTTGGTGTCCACACTACAACAAACACGATAAAATTATCGGCGTTTGACGATAACGATTTTAAAATCGCTCACCCGAGTGATTTTTTTTCAGTCGGATGATGACGATAAATTTTTTGATCAAGCGCAAAGATTTTTTGGCTTTTTTCATCCCAAAATATGTCGGAAGCGTGGAATTTACATGTACAGCTAAAGTCCTTCACGATTTTGAATACTTTGGCAGGTTTGCTTGTTATTGCTAGAAGGTAATGTAAGTACGCGAATAGCAAATTCCCGCGTACCTACGTGGTACCTGCCTAAAAACAAGGAAGTACCAGACCATAAATTTGGCGTACCTCCGGTACGTTGGTACGCGAATTATCGCACCCTGATATAAACAGTCAATTTGCAATAGGCCGCGGCTAATTTAGGCCTAGCTTTCAAGCCTGGGCTTATTTTAGACGCGCTTGTGAACAAATTGACTGTTTACACGATTTTCGCTCGTATAAATGGCCCTAATATACATGACAATTTATATTTGAGCGTATTAAATTTGAGGAAATCACAATGTTATCTATCTGAATCATAAAATTGTTAACCCAATATATAGAATTAAAGCAGAAGAAAGCGCATACATGAGGAATTGTGAAAAGAAGCTGATTGATCTCTTATTTACTTGAACAGTCATCTGATAATTTTTATGCATGTAATTCTAGTGATACTTCACTTAATGAAGAACATTAATTCACTCTTCAAATAAAAAAGTAAACCTCAGGCTCAGCTAAGAGCAAAGTGGACATCATAAACTTTGTTGAGGTGAGGTTATAGTCTCATTTTATAAAATTCATTTAGTATAGTCTGAATCAAATTTAGTGTATGTATGCATCTTCTTAGTTTTGAGCCTTCCTATAGTTGAGATAAGTTAATATGGGCTAACAAAACTGACTCTCTTAACTTTCTCTTATTCCATCCATCATGGTATTTCGCTCTAGTGTCTAACCCCAGAGGATAGCTTGTTAGTGAAAAAATAAGCTGTTAATTATTGGGTTGTGTAGTTGTTACCAAAACTAATTTTGTGGATTTTTTTCCAAAAAAGGAAGGAGACATGGGCTTGATGACTACCTGGCTACAAAAGAAGCCTGCTGATCCATGAAATACTGAACCAGGGCTGATCATGACAAGGAGCTACAGTATTGGCAACATTCGAGAATGGCGAAACTGTCAAAGCCGTGATTTGCTTCCTGGCGTCGTTCTACCTGCTCGACTTGGACTACCCATCCAGACTTGGCAGTCTGACATGGTAAAGGCTTTTCAAGAAATTGAACAATATTGCTACGAGTGAGAACTTTTACTTTTATCTATCGGTAAATACTTTAACCCATTGAGCTGCAATGCGCCCTACTTAATTTTTTACTTGTCAATGGGGAAGCTCTGCAGCTTAATGTGTTAATTAATAACCTAGGTTAATAACCTATTCATGTATAGCTGTTAAATATATTATTTTAAACATTCTTAATTGTTTTAGTACGGGACAAAATTAGAA